CCCCCCCCCGCCCCATTCTTGGCGCGGTGAAGAGGGAGTGATTGATATTTGGACTGGCGGGTGCTACGTCTTGAAAGAATGCTTTGGTAGCCCTTTTCTGTAAAGGACCAGATAGAAGTATTTCAGGCTTTGCAAACTCATTTTTATGTATTGTAATAATTGTTCCTTTTACAACCTTTAAAGAATACAAAAGCCATTCATAGTTCTGGGGTTAGGTAGCTAAGTTTTTTGTTTGTTTTGTTTTGTTTTTAAGAAAAGTGGATTTGGTCCACAGGGCTGCCAACCTGGCCAACCTTTAGAATAAGCCAGAGACAGTGTTTTCCAGGCAGGAGGAAGGGTGCAAGTAGAGGAGAATCTTAGGTTGTCTCCATGGCCAGGCCACCCTAGCAGCTGTTGCTGCATTTCTGTACTTGGGGTTGTGGCCTTCTCAGGCAAACGCCTTGGTGCTTACTTTCCTCATGTCGCTTTGGCTAACCATCAACTGGGCTGGGCCCCGGGGTAGAGGCCCCATTATCTAAGCCTGAGTCAACTCACCTTTCAGGTACCTTTGAGACAGTTGATCCAACTCCCATGTGACTCACCTTTGATTCCTAGGGGGTGGGGACAATTGCAGGGGTGACAGGCCCCAGACCTCAGCCGGTGCAGGCTGGAGCTGGGGCAGATAACAGTCATCACACAGTCTGCCCAGGGGCTTGGCTTGCTCCCCTTGTTGACCAGTCTGCTTTTCTGACTTTCTCATGAGTAGGGAGGGCGATTGCACCTGGGTAGGTCCCATGGCCAGATCATTCTCTGCTGTCCTCCGCAGCTGTGGTGGTTGACAGAGAGAGAGAGGGCTGTGGGCCTGGTTCTTGGGTTTGTTCCAAGGTGGCACTGGACTTAGAAACCTGCTTGACTAGCAGGAATAGTCACTGCTTCCTGTTCCTGGCCTAGGAGAGTAATACAAGGTCAAACTGAAACAGCAATATGTAGTGATGAATGGGAAAAGCACTGGACCAGAAGACCGTGGTTCCAGCTATGCCTTTGCTACTCTCTCTGAAGCTTTATTAATAAGCAAGTCATTTAATCTTTGGGGGATCTGTTGTCATTTGTAAAACAAAGAATGTCATGATTAAAAATAAACAGCAGGTAGATTTCTCCAAATGACTAAAATCTTGGTTATGATACTTATTTTTTATACTTATTTTTTATAGTTGTTTATACTAAGCTAATAATATCCCCAAACTAGAAAAAATCCAGAAAAGCACACCATGTATTGCTAAAGAACTACTGTTAACCATTTTGGTACATTTCTTTTGAGATCTTTTTCCTATGCATGTAAACATACTCTGACTTTGTTTCCCCAGCTAAAATGGACTCTTACTTTAACACACTGCCTAGTAGCCTATTTAAAAATTTCGCTACCTAGCCTGAACATTTTGTCTGAATGATATTAAACAGGGAGTTTTTACTTGAAGCTTTGTCCCTCTGAACCACTGTTGAGAAGTCCATGATGACAGCTAGGCCCGCGCTGGCTAACCTTGAGGGCTTGGCGACAGTGGGTGTGGCTTTGTGGAACAAACAGCCGGCTTATTGGGAGAGCACCACACAATAGATTTTCCTCTCCTGTGGGAGCCACAGTGAGATGAGCTCACAGATCAATGGGTCTCTTCCTTCCTGGTGGTTATGAATAAGTAATAGTGTGCAGACTCACCCTCTAGTGGCCGTTAGTAGTACTGAATGGGAAGGATTACTTCCGGTTGGACTTGTGTTTACCTTCATTTGCTTTGTCTCTCATTGTCTTAGTGACCGAGTCACTAAGGATAGTGACCAAGACAGTGCTAGTCTTGAATCACTTAGTGTCCGAATCACTAAGTGTGATGGTGGTCCGTGGTCTCTAATTTGACATGATTGGAGGTACAGGTTTGTTCCGCCATCCAAAAGTGGGGTGTTGCCGTAAAACCTTTCATAGACAGAAACAGAAGACACGGTTCCCATTAACTTACATGGAATTTTTTTGGAGAACTCCTAGACCCAACAAGACACCTACAAATCATACAAAGTAACCTAAAATACAACCTTACAGTAAAGACAGGCATAAGGTGGCCTGGAGAAGGTGGTCCCCTGGGAGGGGCAGGCGCTGCTCTCTGCGGGAGGCGTGACTGCCTCTAGCACCGCCCTCTGCAAGACAAGCCTCAGCAGTTCTTTATTGTCTTTCACCTTTTGTCATAAAAGTGAAAATCCTCTTCAGTTAGCAAAAATAGATATCAATGTGGCTCTTCTATAATGGAGAAGTGGTGAAGTATGAACTTCTGGAAAGTTCATTAGAAAAGTTCATTAGGCCAGAAATCGTATCTTACATGCATTTGTTGGGTAGCAGGCGGCCTGGGGACCCAGGCCGATACTGGAAATAAACATCTTAATGATAGTCAGACCAACTAGATAGTCAAGTGAGGATCTAACTCAGGAAGCCGACTGGCAGATTGACTCTGATTAGAACTGCTCTGATGGTAAGCCATGTTGCAGAGTGGGCTTATGTCGAAGAGGGGAGAAGGATCATAAAATTGTAGCTATTCACGGGGAAGGGTCTTTCTGGGTACTTGTTATAGAGTTAGCTCTTTTGATTTCTTAAGTAACCTGGACAATGAAACGTCCACTCTGCTTGCGCAAAGGAGGGCGAATGCTAGATCTAACCATTGCCCAGACTTCTGAAGGATGTACGCCTCGCCTGGGGCCCCAGTGCCGGCATCTTCTTTAGCTGGCTTCTCAGTCCAGTGGAGACTGAAAGGCTGTTGTACCACAGGCATCAGGTTCTCGCTTGGCCTCTGCACAGAAGAGAGCCTGTCCTGCCGCTCTGACTTTAAGCCTGTCCGCTGACTTTGCTTGCTGCGGGCTAGACTGGGGGAGCAGGGGTGTCCCAGATCTGAATTCAGTCTGTTCACGGATGAACTGTGAAAATCGACGTTTAAGCTTACACCTCATCAGCTCCAATTCCACCAGCCCCTCTTATCATTTCCAAATAAATAAGAGTAAGGCGAAACTTAACTGTGAAGTGTGTTTAAGGGTCTTAGCCCACCGGTTGTTTCGGTTTGTAACTGCCTCATTTCCTGTCTCACTAAGGGCTGGTAAGCACTGTACTCAGACCTGGTTTGCTGACCTCTGTGGCTTCAGTCAGTTGCTCTGGTTAATTTTGATGTCTGAGAGTTTATTTCAGTCTCTGTCTAGAGAAGTTGATAGCTACTAGGTGTTCTTCACCTTCTACACAGTCATGAATTGGCTCTGTCTGTGTGTGAATAATGTGTCTGTCTCCAGTGCTTTTTACTCTCCTCTGGGCTGGTAACATTCACAGAAAACAGGGCAGGACTTCTTGCTACATCATAATGAACTACGGGCAGAAGTCTTCCATCTCGTTAAGGAAAATGGATGAGTATACCTTTTATGCAAAAGAGTATGACTAAGAGGTGGCGTCCTCGAGCCAGGGTTACACCTGTCTTGAAGACAGAGCTGACGGGAATGGCCAGGGCCCAGCCTTGACAGTGGTCCTCTTTCTCTTCAACACTGCAGGAGCTATGAAGACATGATCGGCGAGGAGGTGCCGTCAGACCAGTACTACTGGGCCCCTTTGGCCCAGCATGAGCGGGGCAGTTTGGCAAGCTTGGATAGCCTGCGCAAGGGGGGGCCCCCGCCCCCCAACTGGAGACAGCCCGAGCTGCCAGAGGTGATAGCCATGCTGGGGTTCCGCCTGGACGCCGTCAAGTCCAATGCCGCGGCGTACCTGCAACACCTGTGCTACCGCAATGACAAGGTGAAGACTGACGTCCGGAAGCTCAAGGGCATCCCCGTCCTGGTGGGCTTGCTAGACCACCCCAAAAAGGAAGTGCACCTCGGCGCCTGCGGCGCTCTCAAGAACATCTCTTTTGGGCGTGACCAAGATAACAAGATTGCCATAAAAAACTGTGACGGCGTCCCTGCCCTGGTGCGCTTGCTCCGAAAGGCTCGAGACATGGACCTCACCGAAGTCATTACTGGTGAGTCGAGGCCTGGGGACGCTGCTGGCTTGCGGTGGCTGCGGTCTTCTGGCCAGTGGCTGCGAACTGGTGGCCTTTGGGTCAAATCTGTCTCACGACGTTGACTGGCTCGTGAGCGTTTGTTTCACAATTCTGAAGACTTGGTCGCTGATTCCAGATTGTGGCAGTCTGTCAGACACGCATGCCCTGGGAGCACTGGGCCCTTTTCCTTATCTACCAGTAGTTGGGCTGAGCGGCCGGCTCTCGTGCCGCTCACTCGCAGTGACCCCAAATCCGTTCTTTGTTCCTGACCAGTTACCCCTGCCTCCGGGATGTGTGTCTCTGACACCGAGGCTGAGTGTCAGTCGCCATTTATTCACATTCTTAAAATATCTCTTAAGTATCTGCTTGTCCTGACTCACTGGCCTAGTGTGTGTGGACACTGGAGCTTGTGGTCCTTGCTTTAGAAGAGTGGTTTTGCAAATTGTGGGTTGTGATCCATTTGTGTGCGCCCAGCACAGACTTGTGGCTCAGACTCGGCGTCCAAGAGAAGGGAAGGAGCGTGGCGCACACAGCTGCCCCTTAGCCGCGCGTCTCTCCTGGAGGACACCTGCCGTGCCGGAGACCTCTGGCCTTTGGTTGTCTTCCTGGGAGAGGGAGGGAGTGCTACTGGCAGCTAGTGAGTAGAGGCCGGAGATGCTGCTCCACATCTAACAATGGACCGGAGAACCCCTAGCAACAAAGCCTTCCTCAGCCCCGAACGAGGCAGCTGAGAGCAGTGCTTATAGTCGGCATAGTTTTGTCAGCGTTTATCTTATGATATGTATGTTTGTGTTGGGTCACAACATAAAGTGGATTTCTTACTATGGTAAGAAACAAAAATTTGGGCCCTCCCTGGTGGCACAATGGGTTAAAGCATTGTGAAGCTATCCTAGGGTACAGCAGTACGGCTTCGATCCCTGTTCAGGGGGGGTGACCCACACGGCACAGCAGACCTCTCCTGTCCTGCCCGCTGAATCTGCCTGCTCTGCTCCCCACTCTGTGTCTGGTGAATCCTCTCAACCCCTTCCCTTCTGCACCTCCGGCCCGTACCCCAGTTCTTATAAGTATAAATGAATCTTTAAAAAACTTTTCTGGGGCCTCCCTGGTGGCACAAGGGGTTAAGTCTCAGCACGTGAAGCTATCGGTAGCCACGGCAGCACGAGTTTGATCCCTGCCCAGGGAGGTGACCCACTTGGCGCAGCAGACCTCCCTTGACTGCCTGCCGCTCCCCTCAGCAGTGTATTTCAGTCCATCTGCCTTCCCACTCTGTCTCTGGTGAGACATCTGTCTCCTCTCACCCCCTGCACCTCTGGCCTGTACCCCAGTTCTCATGTGTATAAATAGATGAATCTTTAAAAAAAATAATCGAATGTCTGTACAAAGTATTTGGTCATTGGAGAAGACCAAGAAGTGATCGATGGTTTTTCATTTTCTTTAACCATTATTGTCTTGGGTGTTGAGGGCTATCTGATGAGTCATCTCTTCCAGGAACACTCTGGAATCTCTCATCCCATGACTCGATCAAAATGGAGATCGTGGACCATGCGCTGCATGCCTTGACAGATGAGGTGATCATTCCGCATTCTGGCTGGGAGCGGGAACCTAATGAAGACTGTAAGCCGCGTCATATCGAGTGGGAGTCTGTGCTCACCAACACAGCTGGCTGCCTCAGGTAACGGAGGCTTGGAGAGTATGATGGTGGGAATTTTGGGGACTGACAGAAATGTCTTTAAAAAAAGGAAACGTCAGTCAGCCATTACTAGCTGCCGCATACATGACGCCAAGCTGCCTTGCGTACCGCACGCGCTGGCTGTGTCTGCCACCGCAGTCCCCCCAGAGCCTCCACGCTCTGTCCTCTCTGGGGCTCACCTGGCGCACACCTGTCCAGCACCTACCACGGGAAAGGCACGTGCATAGTTGCAGGCTGTGCGTGCCGTGTCCCGTATTTAAGTCAGACTTCGGTAATTGCAACAGAAAGAGCACAGTGGGGGAGGGTCGGGGCAGGGTGAGATCTGTGCGAAACTCCCTTCTCATCTCTTCGGCCTTTTGAGGCTAAACTCAGGTACCTTTATTTCATGAACATATTCCTGATTGCTTCTTTGATGTTAAGTGCTTCCTCTCTGGAGAGTTTTGCCCCTGTGTGCTCTGACCCAGTCTTCATTTGTATGCTGTGTAAGAAGTACCTGTCCTGTCTTAAATTGTTGCTGGTCCCTTTTATATTCTGACTCGTTGTGTTGTAAATGTCCTGAAGGCATGTACCGCCTTCCTCAGCTTTCTCTCCTCTGCTGCGCCTTGCTTAGAACAGGTCCTCATTATTTGTTACAGTGAGTCAGAGAAGGTATGAGGCGGTTTACAGCCGAAAAGGGACCTTAAGGGAGGGAGCATTTCTGGCTTTGCCTCTTCTTGAAGCTCTTCCTTTCCCGTAGAAATGTCAGCTCAGAGAGGAGTGAAGCTCGCCGGAAACTTCGGGAGTGCGATGGTTTAGTGGATGCCCTCATTTTCATTGTCCAGGCTGAGATTGGGCAGAAGGATTCCGACAGCAAGGTAAGGCAATGGCCGAGTGAACGCGTTCTCCTCCCCGTGTGCATGTAGTGCAGGCCTGCCCTCCCGGCTCCCAGGAACCGCGGCACCCTTGCCAGCGCCCACTCTCTGAGGTGGGTGCTCGCTGGGAGAATGCTGTTCTCTTAGCATTCCCTTTGCCTACAGAATGTATTTTAAAACTGTTCAGCCGTGCACTCAAGGTTGTGCATTTTTCTAAGTAGGAAAAAGTTTTGTGTCATAAGCCCCATAGTGCAGAAACCAGTCTGTCCACACTTGGATCTTCCACTAACCCACGGGTGTGAAGATTGGAGAAGCATGGACGCTTGAAAGGCGTCATGAAAGATGATGGATTGGGTCCTGCATCAGCATTTAATGCCTGAATCATGGCGGAACCCGTTCCTGCTGGGAGATGGCAGGCAGTCTCTTTTCTCAGTGAGCCTTTTATCTTGTGTCCCCAAGCTGGTGGAGAACTGTGTTTGCCTGCTTCGGAACTTGTCATATCAAGTTCACCGGGAGATCCCGCAGGCAGAGCGATACCAAGAGGCGCCTCTCAGTGTTGCCAACAACACTGGGCCACATGCTGCCAGTTGCTTTGGGGCCAAGAAAGGCAAAGGTGAGTTTTGGTTCCTTGTCTGTGGCGTCTTTAATGTGTGTGGGAATGGAAGGGACGTGCAGCCTGCGGTGCGGGATACCTGCTGCGCGGAGCGGTAGTCTGCCGAGGCGAGGCTGTCTGCTTGCTCTGCGGCTGCTCCCGTGATCGCTTCCTTCCAGGCGGTGATGGTGGTGATGGTGGCGGTGGTGGCGGTGGCGGTGATGGTGGCGGTGGCGGTGGTGGCGGTGGCGGTGGGTGATTGGGGCAGTGAAGGACAAGAACTCAACTAATCTGGGACCTTCTCCCCCACTCCTTCTGTGCTCCCTGCTTCTCCTCTCCCCTCTGCTTTCCCGCTTACCTGCCCATGACGCTGTTGCCGTCTCTCTCCTGCGTTTCCTTTCTTCGTTTCTCTCCCCCCACCTTGGGTGACGCACTGAAGATGAGTGGTTCTCCAGAGGTGAGTGGAGTCTTCTGAGGCGCTAACTTGCATGTGTTGTTTTTTTAGCTTCCCTAGTTTCCTTGCCTAACCCTGCCCTGTGGATGCTGGAGGAAGTCAGTCTTGAGGCCAGCCGTTGAAACAAGCTGAGCTCTCCTGAGCTTCCGGCTCACGGCATGCCATCTCTGGGCAGCAGTTCCGGTGACCCTCGTGCAGGACATCAGCAACAGCAGTGGCTGCTCTTGTCCTCCTCTTGCTCCCTGCTTTCTGGCTTGTTTCTGCACAGCCCTGCTGGGGCAAGCTGAGGGTCCTGATTTTTTTTTCTCCCCCCCGCACCCTTTGGATAGATCTCTGACAAAGATTTTGACTAAAGAATAAAAAAATGCACCACACGAACTCTTTCTCTTAACCGTCTTATTCCTCCCCCCTCTTTTTCATTTCCAAAGGGAAAAAACCCACAGAAGATCCAGCAAATGATACGGTGGATTTCCCAAAAAGAACTAGTCCTGCTCGAGGTAAATTGTCTTTTTTCCCCTCAGTCTTTAGGGGTTTTGTAGACATAGTATTTGGGGGCCTTACAGTTGACGTGATGGTGGAAGTATTAGGCGCCTCCATAGTATTATCACAATAACTAGGAAGGACTGTTGTCATGGCAACTGTCCAGGTTACTTGAGGACATAAGACGGGTCGCTTAGATTCCCTAAGTAGTCGCTGTGTTCTTGGGCCTTAAGCCTTACCTGTTTAAAGAAGTCTTGCTGTATCACCATTTGTATGTTTGTTTTCATCAGTACAGTGAGTTCAACATTCACAGCTCTCTGTGAATCTAACAGTGTTAGATAGTGTTGGCCCTCTTACTCAGTAGTAGCAATGGTGGGAAGAATGACTCCAGTAAATCAGCAACAGTTTATCTGCGATGCGGTCTTTAACTGGGTGCTAACAGGGAGCAGGTGTTAGTGTCGAGGGACACTGTGGTTAGCTGAGGGGAGAGGAGTTGCATCTGAGGAGCTGGTATGCTCTCACCATGAATTAATTACTCCTGAGAAGGCATGGGATCAAGGCTCTGACTTTGTGGGTGACAGTATAGGGAGCGTAATGTCCATCAGCCCCCCTCACCAGTCAGCACCTGGTGTTTGGGTACCAGTTAGCACCTCTATCTTCTTGTCCTCTCTTGTGTAGGCTACGAGCTTCTGTTTCAGCCAGAGGTGGTTCGGATATACATCTCACTCCTCAAGGAAAGCAAGACCCCTGCGATCCTAGAAGCCTCAGCTGGAGCTATCCAGAACCTGTGTGCTGGACGCTGGACAGTAAGTATCTTTTGGAGAATGGATTTGGAGGTGGGAGAACTCAGCCGACTGGCTTGCTGTCATCTGTAATTTCCTCTCCTGTCCCCATGCCACTTGTAGTATGGGCGATACATCCGCTCCGCCTTGCGTCAAGAGAAGGCGCTCTCTGCCATAGCTGACCTCCTGACCAGCGACCATGAGCGGGTAGTGAAAGCTGCATCTGGGGCCCTGAGGAACCTGGCTGTGGATGCCCGCAACAAGGAGCTCATAGGTAAGGGTGGGTGCGGCCCCGCCTGGAGGCTACGCGCAGCCTGTCATGACTGAGGAGAAGAATCCCAGCCTTTCACGGTCTGTGACTGAGGGTTGGTGCTTGAGAAGGTTCTTTCCAAGAACCTTTCTTTCCAAGGAAAGCATCGCCTTGGATGGCTTTTTGAAAGTTAGAAGTGGTGATGCTTCAAAGATGTAGTTAATAAGCTATTATTATTATTCATTTTGTTACTAGGCATTGCTAAGACTTTCTCATTTAATCCTCACTGCTTTACAAAGGTTCTTTTTTTTTTAAAGATGTATTTATTTATGCATACAGAGCTGGGGTACAGGCCAGAAGTGCAGGGGCGGTGAGAGGCTTCACCAGAGACAGAGTGGGGAGCAGAACAGGCCGACTGACGAAGTACACTGCTGAGTGGACGGGTCAGGAGAGGTCTGCCGCGCCATGTGGTCACCTCCAGGGCAGGGAATCAAACTCGCATTGAAGCAGCGGCCCCAGCTTGCAGTGCTGCGTCCTAACCATTGCGCCACCAGGGAGGGCCCTCATTTCTTTTTTATAGGATAAAGAGACTGAGGCTCAGGGAAGTTAAGTGGTTTGTTTAGAGTCAACCTAATAAATAAGTAAATAGTAGAGCCCAGTATTTTTTTTTTTTAAATTCCTGAATATTCTGTTGAACTATTGTAATAGCCAATAAAGTCTTTCAGTAGAATATCTGAAGTGACTTTCCTGTTTGATATGAAGAGCTCACCTTGTTTCAGTGTGACTGATAAATTAAAGTAAAGGCATGAGGATGACAATAAGGAGAGGCCTGTTCAGGTTCTTTGCCCATTTGATGCAGTAAACCTACCGGAGAATGATGGTATGTGTGGACAGCACCTACCTGCTTCGCATGATCAAGGGAATTAAGTAAAGTGTTAGGCCCTCACCCCGATGCGGCTGCTCCTTACACGCTCCTTCTGCCTTACTGCCACAGGTAAACATGCTATCCCTAACTTGGTAAAGAATCTGCCAGGCAGCCAGCAGAGCCCTTCCCAGAATTTCTCTGAGGACACCGTGGTCTCTATTTTGAACACCATCAATGAGGTCATCGCTGATAACTTGGAGGCTGCCAAAAAGCTTCGAGAGACACAGGGCATTGAGAAGCTGGTGCTAATCAACAAATCAGGGTGAGCAGAACACCTCAGAGTACAGGTGGAAGCGCTTGCACTCGAGAGGACAGTGGTTCTAGGAAGGCGCTTTCCCCTTCTGCTTCCTGACAGGATTTCCCTTTACTTACGTGTGAGGCGTCAGTGGGTCTTGCTGTTTTCTCTTTATTATTTTCTGTCTTGAATATTGACTCATAAATTGATAACAGACTTCCATCAAGCAGCTTTTTGTGGTCACTGTTTGGGAAAGACCCAAATAGTGAATATTTGATTGTGTCTACTTTGGCATTTACACTCCTAGTGGTACATTATATTAGCGAATTTAGGTTCTCAGCTGCTTCTTTGGTTTTGTGTCAAAATACCATATGATGTTTGGTTATCTTCTCAAGGAACCGTTCCGAAAAAGAAGTTCGAGCAGCAGCACTTGTATTACAGACAATCTGGGGCTATAAGGAACTGCGGAAGCCACTGGAAAAGGAGGGATGGAAGAAGTCAGACTTTCAGGTAGCTTGGCCCTGGGCCGAGACTTCTGCTGTCTCCCTCACCCCCACCCCCGGGTCTGTGTCTGTCTTTGGTTTCCTTTATTTCATGTCACAGTGAGCCTGGGTTGGACCCCATTCTGTCCATAAGGAAAGGATTTGTTTCCTCCCTGCTGCAGTGGAGTGGTGACAGCAGCTCTGGCTGCCAGACCAGCTCTGGGACAGGCCGTGGCAGTGCGGGGCGGACCTTTCTGTCTTTTCCACAGATCTGCCAGAACCTGTAAAGGAGTTTGCCCTTTCCTAAATAAAGGCTGCTGCTCCTTCTGATAGTGCAGGTGTTGCTACCTTTGTGATCTCCTGCTCAGAGAAGCAAGTAGAAGCCTTAGCATCCCAGTGGTTTCCCTCTCTAGGTCTTTTTTTTTTTTTTTTAAAGATTTATTTATTTGTTCATACAGAACTGGGGTACAGGCCAGAGGCTCAGGGGCAGTGAGGGGCTTCACCAGAGACAGAGTGGGGAGCAGAACAGGCAGATCGACGAAGTACACTGCTGAGGGGAGCAGCAGGACGGTCAGGAGAGGTCTGCCGCGCCATGGGGTCACCTCCTGGGCAGGTGGGAATCGAACTCATGCGGAAGCGGCTTTAGATTCTCAGTGCTGCGCTTTAACTCACTGCGCCACCAGGGAGGGCCTCTCTAGGTCTTTTTTTTTTTTTTTAAAGATTTATTTTTTTATTCATACAGAATTGGGGTACAGGCCAGAGATGTGGAGGGTGATAGGATTCACCAGAGACAGAGTGGGGAGCAGAACAGGCAGATCGGCGAAGTACACTGCTGAGGGGAGCAGCGGGCGGGTCAGGAGAGGTCTGCCGCGCCATGTGGTCACCTCCAGGGCAGGCGGGAATCGAACTCATGCGGAAGTGGCTTTAGATTCTCGATGCTGTGCTTTAACCCGCTGCGCCACCAGGGAGGGCCTCTAGGTCTTTTTTTAACCCTCACAAACTACCTTTTGATTCTTGGGACTAGGGGCTTAAAGGTTTGTGCCCATTAGGGATGAGGCCCAGGTGCGCGCAGTACCCTGACATCTTACTTCATGTCTGTCTCCAGGTGAATCTAAACAATGCCTCTCGAAGCCAGAGCGGTCACTCGTATGATGATAGCACTCTGCCTCTCATTGACCGGAACCAGAAATTAGGTACCGTATCCAGGGCAGGCCTCTCTGCATTTCCATCTCTCTGTTCTTCAGTGGGCTGCCTGTCTAAGAAGCAGAATATAGGTTTGCTTTTGACGAGCCAGCCTTTTGGTAGAGGGGAATAATACGTTACCAACACAGAAGTTGGTACGCCTTAGCAAAAGGAAGTAAGACAGCCAATTAGCCTGCAAACTTCTATTTTACAAAGTTCAATTTAGCAAGCCCCCTCTTTTTGCTTTTGGACTTAAAAATGACTGGAAATATAAACTCTAGTGTCTATTTTCTTCATTTTGTAATGTAATTGACATAATGTATAAATTTAAGATATACAACATAAAGATTTGATATATGTATATATTAATTAAGAAATGATTGTTTTTTCCTTTTAAATTTCTACATAATACCAGGTAATGTTTATATAGTGTTGAAAAGTTAGTAAATATAGACAACCAGTTAAATAACAGCATCTTTTAGGTATTTTTGTTATTTAAACATACATTTTCCCCTCAAAAATGAATTATGTATTTTTGTGTGTGAACTGATTTCTTTCTCACTGACCACTGTATTGTTATTAATGACTCACGGCTTTTGCCTTGATTAGTGTTCCGAACTGTGGTCTGAGGGTGCCTTCTGTTGACCTTTGGGCCAGTGGTCAGCTGCACAGTCCACACAGCTGGTTGCTGTAGAAGCCGAGCGTGAATCAGGGCCGGTCACCAGCGCCGGACTGCCGCGGACTCACTGGGGCAGCCAGTGTCACTAACATACTTGACAGAGCCTTAAAATTGGTTTTAGTCTTTGCTCCTGGAGTACACATCTTTCCAACAGCCCGTGCTGGTGAGATAGGAAGTGCCCACAAAGCAGTCTGAGCAGACCGAGCTGACTGAGCATGACTCTAGGGAAAAAGCGCTTGCTTGGGTCACTAGTCAAACTCGCCCCCATTTCTAGACTGGAGCACTGCTCTTACTTAGGGAGAATAGACAAACTGCAGTTGTTCAGACTTAGGTGTCTGGCAGACATTTTCTTTAAATTGAATTCATTGATGATACTTGTGCTGTTTAAATTTGCAGGTGAAATTTGTATTTTTAGAAAACTTTCTGTGTTACTGTGGGCCTGGTAACCTTCCGGTACTTAAAAATGGCTTTTAAATGAAATCAGTGGTGATATTAATGAGTGTGATATTTTGACATTCCATAATGAAATGTACTGGCATTTAGAAGATCTGCCTAGCTCCACGAAGCCAGTATTTTATAAGTGATAGTGAATGCATGATGTTTCAAAATCATGCCAGCGAGGGTAATTGATCCATTCAAGAGGAGGCAGACAAATGCTAATTTAGAGAGTGAAAGTCCACATTGAGACTAACCTTGGAGACTCAGCTTGTTGAGCATTCGAATACTGTCAAAGAATATCCACAATTGTTTGAAAGGACTATTAAAATTCTCTTGGCCTTCTCAGCTTATCTGTTTAAGACGGAATTTTCTTCATTATACGGTCATCAAGATAACATCACAGCCAGCTAGCTTCTTCTGAAAGCCAGGTTCTAAAGAGCTGTGCAAAAAATGAAAGTAATTATTGTGATTAAAACTGTTATTTCTGTTAACATGTAGTAAGTTTATTGTTAGTTTTAAGTGAAACAAATATTTGCAGTTTTTTAATACTGTAAATATTGATACATATAACATCAGTGTAAGTTCTCTGGGTGCTCATACACCAAATGCTTTGAAAACTGCTGGCCTGGAATGAATGGTTATACAAGGAGTGTAGGAAAGGCCTTTCTCCAGTCCTGGGAGGCTCTCCAGCTAGTGCCTGACATCTAGAAGTCCTCAGTAAACAGTTGATGGGAGTGTGGAGGCCAGAACTGAGAGCAATTTTATGATGAGCATAGACTCTGAAGAGATGGTTTTTGACTTAAACAACTTCTGACTTCATATAGATAAGAAACCTGATCGGGAAGAAATTCAGATGAGCAATATGGGATCAAACACAAAGTCCTTAGGTAGGTGATCAGTTCCTCCTTAAAGGTATGGTGTACTGTTTCACTGGGATGCGGAGAGCTGTCTGGTGGGAGCTGAGCTTTGCCGTCAGCTTTTTCTACTGCAACCTGGAAAAGCCTTGACTGACATGTCCATTTGGAAGGATCTGAGGGAGTTTACTTGTATCCTGTAAAAGTAGATGTGGCCTACCTGCATTCACCCATATTCCCACCTGTTCGAAGCTCTAAACATATTTATTTGTTTGCCTGTCTCCGCATACCTCCCTCTTCACTGGAGAGAGGAGTTTATGCCCCTAAGCCGCTCCTCAGCGGCCTTCGCAGTCGGTCCAGCACACCTGGTCTATCCCGCCGGCATCTCTCTTCACACTATATGCCTATTTGATTTTGCGTCTGCTGAAGTGCTCTTCTCCTTTGCTTTTCTAAATTCTCTTTACCCCCAAAGCTTAATTGAAGGCCTGTCTCCTTTTGTTGGACTTTTTCCAAACTGTTAAAAGGATACTGCACTCTCTCCTCTTAATTCCAGCACCCTTCAAAGACAGGGCTCTAGTTTTTTAAACAGACCGTGCTCTGGGTGTTTCATGTTGGCTGTCTTCCCCATCAGAGTCCTGAGTCGGGGCCACCAGATCTTCTGCCTTTCTGGAGCAGCTGGCAAAGCTCAGTTCGCATCAGGGAGCCTAGTTCACGCTCCCCTGTTAACTGTGTCTCGTTCACCAGAGGGGAACATCATGTTGCTGTGTGCTTTATTTTTGATTAGATAACAACTATTCCACCCTGAATGAGCGAGGGGACCACAACAGAACACTGGATCGAACCGGGGATCTGGGCGATATGGAGCCCTTGAAGGGGACCCCCCTGATGGTAAATTCTCTCTGCTGTCCTTGTAAAGCGAGTTCTGTTCTGAAGCCCTCGTGTTTTGTGAAATAGGGAACAAAATACCTAGTCAAAGACGCTTCCCTTTTCTGGTCGGGGCTTTCCAGGAGAGTAGTTTTCACCTGTGTTGCAATTTCTTGGACCATTTTTTCTGTGGTGGTCTGGATTGGGGGTGGGGGTGGGGTGGGTACACGTGCTGCCGATCTGACTGACTAACCAGTCTGTCCTCATGTTGCTCTCTTCTCGCATGCCTTACCCTCTTTTTACTATGTCCCTGTTTTGTTTGAACTTACGAGAACTTTGGGATTTTCCCTGGATCTGGCACACACCCGCGAGGTTCATTTCCTTACTCTCATACTAACAAGTTGCATGTGTTCACAGCAGGACGAGGGGCAGGAATCTCTGGAGGAAGAGTCTGATGTGTTGGTTTTGGATGATGAGGGGGACCAAGTGTCTTTACCCCCCATGGTATGTCCTCTCATCCTTGAGGAAGGAGGCCCCCATGTGCCAGCCATTTGCCAATCATGCTGATCTGATCGGGCCAGGCACCAGTCTCAGCCACCCGGGGCTTGTGGGGCTGGCTGCTTCTGTGATTTTTAACCTCTCGCAAAGGCTGGGGTGTGCAGCTGGTGATCTGATTCTCCGTTATCTGCTGCTTCCTTCAGCCGTCTTTAGTTGTTCTTGTCTCCAACGTTTATTAACATCTCTTTTTTCTTTTCTTTCCCCAACAGCAGAAGATTTAACACCACTGTCTCCGCTCCGTTTGGGCTTATAATATATATACTTTTATTTTTGGTGGTGAAATGGACTGATGATTTTTCCCTTTCTTCGCTGGACTATTGTGCCAACTGCCAGGCTGCCTCCTGCCCTTTGTAGCCCTGAGCGGCTGCCTTCTTCCCATCAACTCCTCACTTCTTCCAGTGAAGTTTAATTGTCCCCTCCCCTGCCCCCAGAGCCCTCCAGTTGCTCCCAAGAAGCCTGACTCAGTTATACGCATATCTTGAGAATCTGCTGCAGATTAGTTCTTTTGCCAGCTCTCCCTGAAACTCTTGGCCTTGTGCGGAGGGAGGGAGCAAGCGTGTGGGAGTCCTCACAGGAAGCTGGAGGAAGAATTGGAAGTTACGTGCTGGAAATGCAGTGTCCAGCAATCTGATAAACTGATGTTTCATAATCAAGATTTTTTTTTTTGGTGGGGAAGGGACTTTTCATTTTTTTTGGAGAATGGGGGCATGAGCTCTTCCCTTATTCCAAATGACTATTTCTGAAGCAAAGAAGCTGGCGACATTGGCACGTTCCCCCCGGCAAGGGCCTGTCACTGAAGGGCCAGAACTGAGGGCCTCACCCTCCTCGGCTCCAGGGCAGGGCTCATCTGGGAACTGCAGACTCCATCTCTCCTCCAGGCCTCATGCCAGCCCTGCGCTGCCACCACGCCCTTTCCTGAGGCTGTCCTTAACCTCCTGCCCTCCCGTGATACTGTCTGCTGACCTGGCCTGGCCATTGCAAGATGCTGTAGAAAGGAGAATGTGTCAAGGAAGACTTCTTGGGTGAGAAGGAGCAGAAAGATGTCTTCTAGAGAAAAGAACAGCTAGGAGGAGCTGGTAGGAATGCACAGTTAGTCTGAAACTGGCTGGAAGCTTCAAAGCTGACCCTTCCTGTTTCTCCTCTGACCCTGAAGCCCCGTGGCCCTGCCTCCCCCCTGGGTTAGCTGGCTGACAAAGGACTCCGTGTATATACCCCGCCCTCCCCTGAAAGGCGGAGATTGCCTCTGGCTTTGCCTCCTCTTTGTGCCTTTGGCCTGGGTGCGTCTCCTCTCCCTTCCATGTGCCTTTCTTTGCCTCTGCAGTCTCATTTCTCATGATTTTGCGAATTGTATTTTGTTGCTTTCTTACCCACTACTGGCCCTAAGGTAGCAGAAAGAAAGGAGAGGTGACCTTGAGAACCTCCATACTCCTCTGGGGATTGGTATAGTCTCAGCCGTATGTAGTAACTTTTGCACCACAGTATCTGGTTGGGATTTTGCAAAAAATTCTGTTCTGATGAACCTGAAAAAGAGGGTGGTGGGAGGAGTGGTGAGTGGGGCAGCTCTCGTTCCTTGGTTGCCTCGAGTTGACCAGCGTCCTCGAAGGTTTGTGGGGAAGCCGTGTGGTCCCTGCCCACTGGCCATCCTCCTTTAATGTAGTGCGTATTCTTAGCATGTTGGGCTGAAGGACTCAGCTGCTGTGCTGGTTGATTTTTTTTTTTTTTTAAAGACCTATTTCCTTAGTTGCCTTTGACTCCTGCCCTAATCTAAAAGCTCCGCTCAGTGCAACTGGAAGTCCTTATCCTTCTCTCGCCCTCCCCGTGTGTGTTGAGGCTATGGGGTAGGAGAACAGTGCACAGCCCACCTCTCCCTTCCCACGGCCCATGCGTCCCAGCCCTTCCCGGCCACCCCCACCCCCCCTCCTTTTCTGGCCAAAAGGAGCCCTCTGCTCTGGGACCTGAGTGCGTGCTGCTCAGGGACGCGGCCCTCCCAGACTGACCCACTCGGTTTCTCTTGTCCTCTTCTGCTCTTTTCCTGGTGCTCTTTTTCTCGGTGGGATGTGGGTAATAGAACAGCCATGGGCTTTGGGGGACAGTTAACTGTTTATTTTTTGTTTGTTTATAAAACACTAAACATTCAATTCCAGAGAACCAAAAATCCCACCTTCCCACTGTACACTACTAAGGGGCATGTCTCTGCCTCAGACCTTTTCTGTTTTTCTTTCTCTCTTGTTAATGCTTTTAAAAAAATGAGTTTTTTATATAAATAAAGTTTTTAAAGTGTGTATGTGGGGGGTCTGTGTCATTTCTTCACTTCAAGCTGTATCTCTTGTCATCTTGGTTGCTTACTTATGGATCAGTGTCCTTCTTCTTTCCAGAGCAACCAGAAGGTGGTTATACCAGAACAGATTATTTCGAGCTCAATCCCAACTCTTACAGGCAATGTTCTTTGTGATTATATATGGAACATTTTTTCCCCTGAAGACTCTTAAAAAATTAAATGTGGCTAAGCAGACCACAGGAAGCGGGCTGCTAGCTTAGAGATAGGAAGTATGAGGACTTAATGACTTCCGTAGTCACTGGGGTTCTCTTGCGACATTTGACAAAGCTAATGTCTGCTAACGCACATTGCAGTGCATGGCCCGTGGCCTCCATGGGTAGTGACTAGAAGCCACCAGCGCCTACTGCCATCCTAATAGATGTGGGAATATAGGCTTAAGGCTCCCATATACAGGCACTGAACACTGGGCCCTAACAGTTCCCTGGGCTGTGTGCAGCCTGTCCGTAGGAAGACAAGGCCCACAGCTTCCTGTGTGCCCTGCCAACTGATAACTGCGTGGGTGGGTGGCAGATACTTGTGGGATTACCAGTGGTCATCTTCACCGCAGAGGCCAAGGGTCAAGACCTTTGGAATGAGATTGATTTTTTTCTGCTGCCCAAATTTCCTGTTAAACAATGAAAAAACTGAAGAGTAAATAAAATGCTTTCTGTATGCCAAGTCTTTTAGATTAAAATCATATAGCTGCTTCTGATGATGGTAACATCTGACCAATTTTGTTGAAATAGGTCTTGGTATGAAAACTCAGGCTGGTGAGACTGGAAATCCAAACTCCAGCTGATGACATTTGAAGCTTGATTTGTGCATCCTGGTTGTAGCTTTAGAAGGATGCAGCACTGAGCCAAAATGTGACGAGAGTGTGTCTTGCAGATGTTCGGCAGCTGCGCTGGACAGGGATCTTATCTGGCCATCACAGAGGAGTAGCCTCTGCTTTTGTGCTGGTTCCTGGCATCCACTGGCACTGAGCTTGCCACAGGCCTTGCTCTCCCCTCTGGATTGGCGCCTTCGTTTCATCAGGTAGATACACACACACAGAGCATCGAATCCGAGAGGCTTTGTGGAGGTCTGGCTCGGATGGGGGAAGGAAACAGGTGGGCCCTTTCTGCAGAGTTTGCGATCTGCGAGAATCCTAAATAGCTACGACTGGGATCTTTAAAAATGTTTCTCTGCCCCTGCCCAGAATGCGTCATGTCCAGCCACGATCTGGGAAAGTCCTCTTAAGTCCTCTACACACTGATGCTGAAGCCTCTTGGTATCTCTTCGACTCTCTTTAGGGACCCTGCACATTTAGTCAAGCTTTGCCCAGGCGCTTCCTGATGCTTGGGTGTCTGGTTTTTTCTGCAAGTGGCTACTGGTGACGCTTAGTCCCTCTCCTGCCTTCTAGTGAGCTTGTCTGCGCAAGAGCTGTGATGAGTCTGGCCCAGAAGTTTCCTGCAGCTCCCAGCAGTGACCTCGCTTGGCCACTTCCCTTTCTTGCTGTTCAAATGTACTTTGTCACAAACTGGAAATACCGCATATGTCACTGTTTCTCATTTGTCTGTTTTTATCTGGTACATGGGATAGTAAGGTTTATTCTATTTTCATATAAATAGAGGCCACCTTGACCTAGCCTTATAGAGCCGAACAGTTACCCAGAAAGGTGGTTATAAAAATGCAGACTCTTAGTTCTAACTCCAAAAGTTGATTCAGTGCGTGGAACTCAGGAATCTGCAGTCTTGACAACTCACTGAGGTGTTTCTGATACTTGGTTAATCATGATACACCCATTTAGTGATTTCCAGTCTCACCTGGAACCCAGGGGGACTGCCTGCTCCGTTGGCAGTGGTGCTAGTGTCTGAAGGGTGTGGATATAACCCTGCAAGGGGAATTCATGGAGGAACACTTACCTGAAAGGAGTAGTTGCATACTGTAGAATTTGAGAGGACAGTAGTAGGTGGGCATGTAGGACGTGGTCCCTGAAGAAATTTCTTACCTTGCAAATCCTGTAGTGGGAAATGCCCAGGCTGCAGAGGGCCTGGCCAACCCTCCCTTCTTGTCATGGAAGATAGAGAGAATGCCCTGGAGTTGTTGACTCTGCCTAGAGTCACCTCTGACACGGCCTGGGAGTGAGTGACCCTGCTGGCCAAAGCCAAGGAGGTGTTCCTGAACTTTTAAACTACTTCGAGACAACCTACCTCAAGAAAGCACAAGAAAAGTAAAATTGTAGAGACCTAGTATTTGTTACCTTATGACCTCTTAATTTTCTGTTGCCTGTTTCCTTTGCTTAAAGCATTGATTCTTCAGCCGACCCTTCCAGAATTGAGGGGCAGACATGAGAGGAAAGAAAACTGGAGGAAATGAGGTAGGGAAATAATAGAAAACAACTATTTTGATCTGTCCAGTCTAGCGTACACTGACTTATATTACCCTCTTACATAGTAAGAGAATTAGCAGGGCCAGCACTCCACAAACGGATGTCAGGGACTTCACTCCGGTTGGCATAGTTGTCGGACCTGTAGGTGTTATTCAACGCGCACAACTAGGCTTTCACTTTTTTTTCACCGGAGGAAAATGTACTGTGCTTTTCTCCACGTGTCTCATTGTTGGAAAGGTCTTTCTGTTGCTGTAACAGATACAGGTTTCACGGACTCCGCCCCCACTTGATGCTGGAACTCCAAATCCCATCAGTACCAAGAAGAAGCACGCAGGGACGTGAGGGCGGAGCTGAGCAGCCAGGTTGGGATAAAACCGGACACGTGGGCTCTGGGGGTCTCTTGGCCTGGTGGTTCGCAGCTGATCGTTTTGGTGCTCAATCGGTTTTCAGCGTGCCGGTGGAGTCCACGTCAGCAGGACTGGTAGGACATCCTAGTTAACCTTTGTTTCTCTCCCTCTTTCCCTGGGTTATCCCTTTACCTTTCTCCTTATAAATAAATCCATTATTTAACCTTTTGAAGTGTGTCCATAATACGATTGAATCGTAAGCGCACGGGTGAAGACCCACAGACAGGCAACCCAATTCACATTGGGGTGCCCTGTAACATTGCTACTGACTATCCAGAGAGGATTGCTGTTGAGCTGTTTCCCCTAGATTATGTTCTAGTGAATTGTTTGGAATGCCATTGGTGCTCATGGGAAGGAAAAAGAAATAGGGGCTATCCCTGGTGACGTGCCAGGTGCTCACTCTCCCTGTTCTTCACCACAGTCCTTTCTTCCTCCATCTTCAAAGCTTCGTTAGCATTGGTGTTTGCAAACTCTGACCTCCCGCCTTTCTGCAACCTATTTGTTGTGGGAAGAAGGGATGGGATTGTGCATTGTATATAGTTGAAACTGATTCAAGCTCCTCCTGCTTTTGGTATTGTGGTGGGTTGGGTGCTCTTTAAAAAGGCTTTTCAGCGGAAACAAGATAACAAGGTAAAAAGGATTTAAAAAAACCCCACATTTCTGAACAGGCACATAAGAAAACCACACATCTTCAAAATGAAATCTAAACTGGAATCCTAAAGGTAGCTTTACTTAGCTTTTGCCAAACTCAACAAACCCTGGACATCTATTTACTGACTACACAGCATGTGGAAATGAGGCCTGAGGAGCCCGGCAGGCGACTCCGGGGAAGCCAGGACACTCTGTGGTTGGGGACAAGAGATGGCTGTGAACGAGGCAGCGGGCTTTGTCTCTGCCTGGGAATTCATAACCACAAGGTGGCCTTTGGTGGGTTTTCAGTCCCAGTTGATACTACCTGGCGGCCCTAAAAATCTGGGGAGTTTAAAGTGACCTGGTGTAGACACGTCTCCAACTGTTTTTCAGAAGCAAATGCGATTCTCTGAGGCTTCAAGACAGTTCCCACAAAAGTTCAGAAAGCCTAAGATGTGGCCACGCTACCACTGGTGGGTACCACAGACCCACAGAAGCCGGCCCGTGAATGCTTCAGATGTTGACACGGTCACACAGATGACTGAAATAGCTTTTTGATTAGTGAGCCGATGAGGCAAGCTTGAAAAGAAGAGATGATAAAATCCAATCCAGTACATTAAAAAAAGTCTTTGAATTAGAAATGAGAAATACAAATCTGAAATAACTTGATGGATTAAATAGATTATTCAAATTGAAGATGAGCTAGTAAATTGGAAGAGCGCTCTCAGGAAATTATCCAGGAGGCCATCCAAAGAAGGAGCAGAGACAATGGAAAATAGTTGAGCTCCTTGACAACAGGAGATAGCATGAGCTCTAATGTGTGTTATCTGGAGCTCAGAGAGATAGCAGAAAGAGAGGCAATCTCCAGGGGAATGCATGGGACATTTTTCAGATTTGCAGAGATCTAAGCCTCATAGTTAGGACTCTAAGAACATACTAAGCAAGATAAAAAGCTACTCTTCTCTGAAAACTTCAAGGTGAAATGCAAGAACCAAAGCTCTCCGCCGGCTTGAGGGCGTACAGGCGGCCCACAGAGCACAGGTCCACGGGGTGACTCCGATGGCCCCGGGGTGACACCGATGGCCCCGGAGCTGGGCCCCAACCCTTCTGTTACCAACGTAAGACTGTGGAGGAAATTGACTGGAACTTTTTTTGTTAGTGAAAGCTAATTAAAAAAATGCTTTCAGGCAAAAAACAAGCGTTTGCCACTCAGGAAAGGTAATTCTGCTGGGTAACCTTGAGGCAGAAGGAAAATGATGGGAAGATCCATGCAAGAAGGAGCACTCAGCCCTGGTGTTGGTAAATCATATTGGTAAAAGTAAGTAGTCGTTGACTTCAGCAGTGTGTAACTGGGCGGGGATCAGGCCGAGGATGAAAATACCTGACAAAGGCATTTAAGCTGGAGTGGTTAGAACTGTCATTTTCATGTCCTTTTCAGGAGAAAGGAAAGCTATTTATTGATTAACTTAAGACTTTGTGAAACTTGAGTATCCATAGAACTGGGCTAGCCAGTGGAGTCCACAGAGCACATAACTCGGAGGAGAGAGGAAA